TTTTAAAAGAAAAGATCGTAGTAATACATAACTTTTCAACTAGGCAAGTGGCTTTTGACCAAAAGAAAAATTAAGCAAGTAGTTTAGTTACCCTTGCACGGGTGAACTGAATCTAATTATCTTTAAACATTGTCTTATGATATATTTTTATTCAAACGATATCTTTTGCTTTGTTATACTACCTCTAATAAGAGCTTGACTAATTTGAATAGATTAAACAATTAGTTAAGTTAATTATTTGTAATAAATATGTATTGTCCTCCTTAAAATATCTTTATTAATCAAGTGTATTAACTAGAATTACCATTATTACAAGGATTACTTTAGAAAAAAAATAGCTAAATATGAGAAATAAAATAAATTAAAATCTTATATTTATGACCAAAATAAAAGTCAAACAAGTCCTTATATTAAGGACTAGAGATAGTAATTTAAAAAAATTATATATTTATCATAACAGACTACAATATACTCCTCTGGTCCTATTTATAAGGTAGAGAAAGAATATTTTTTTGTCTTATTCATAGGGCACTAAGAGAAATTTTTTATATGAAGGTACAATTTTACCACTCGCTTATTATTGTGTTGACTTTATTTACATGAGGTATAATATATATTGAATAGGGATAAAATTGAAAAGTTATTGAATTTTAAATAAGAGTTAATGAAATTTAAAGTTTTTCTTAACTATGTAAAACATACTGAAAGTGACTTATAAATAGAACTAAAAGAATAATATTTTGCATATACTTATCAAATGACTTTAAGCTCCGAGGGTTGATCGGTAGAGGCATTCCCCGCTGGTTGGCCGTCGACGGGCAATGGAGACTATTTGACCACAACCCCATTAAGAGAGATTTTTGTGTTTAATCATGATTAAAACGGCGGAGAATTACACTGAAAGCAATTTTACTCACGCACAAATCCACGTGTATAATTATCTTTTCAGACACCATTCAACAATATTACTTTATATACATGCTTGTCTGTATAAAAGAAAAACATGAGTGCTTCTTTAATTCTTTCACATTTTTTTCAAAAAGAAGAAGATAATAGTGTGATTAACAAGCTAAGGAATTTTAACATAGACCTTTCTTTTCTCCCTGAGACCAAAAGGAGTAACTTCTCTATCACAAACATCAGCACCATGCCAAACATATCTGGGCATAAATCGCCGGAAATAGAAGAAATCGGAGCTCAGGCGAGACGAGGACGCTCCGAGCACACGGACCTGGGCAAAGCCGGGCCGCCACTCATCGGAGCCGATCATTTTGAGGTAGAGACGGCAGATGGGAGAGTCCAGGCATGGGGCAGTGACCAGAAACTGGTCCACCATGCAAGCCTGAAAGGGCTTTCTGGGCACATCGTCCACAACCTGAGGTTGCAATGGGTCCACTTTTCTGATGTGCTTGGAGTTGAGGTGACGAACCACTATGTCGTTTGAATTGGTGCCTCCGAATCTTAGGCTCACATGGTTCGACGTTTCGGCTCCCACCATGCATGTTGTTTCTATTGTGATTACATATGTGCAATTTTTCTGTTGTTTTTACATGAAAATATTAGTGTAACTAATTATCAATGTGGGTGTGAGTTTTTTCAACTAGTTACACATAATCTATAATAAATTAGTACTACCTCCGATCCTTAATATAAGATTTTTTTACTTTTATTTTGATCCTAAATATAAGATCCCAATCTACTTTATTTCTCATATTTATTTATTTTTTCCAAAATAATCCTTCTCTGACCAATAAACTTAATTAGCAAAGATATTTCAGAAAAGACTACATATTTATTACAAATAACTAAGTTAACTTATTTTCTTAATCTACTCAAATTAGTTAATTAGCTCTTATATTTAAAATCGAAAGCAGTAAGTAGTATGTTCAATTCATTTGAATTTTCACTTGTATTGACAAATCAGTGCCAACTCCTAATCTTTCTTGAAAACTCAAAAATGACAGCATCATCAAAATTTTATACTCCTTCTTATTCTTAAATCTAGATTTAAAAAAAAGTTAAATAAATTAGCTAATTATAATAAATATACTATGATGTTCAGAAAATGCCTATTTGTAATAGTGTTACCTATCGGCTTACAATTTTAAGTAAATTAGTTTGAAAAAAACTCTTATATTTAGAATCAAATTCATTTTCCCCTTAGTTTTTATATCAAAGAGCAGAGAGGGAGTAACAGATTGTGTTATTTATAAGTCATTAATATTAATAGAGGGTATGATTTACCTTATATTACACGCATAATATGGAGAAATATATATATATATATATATATGTATGTATGTATATGTGTGTAGTCCAAAATTGACGTAAATAAATAAATACCTTGATTTCAGAAGGAAGGATCTGCTCAGCTTGGAGGAGAAGAGGAAGCAGCAAAAGCAGAGGAAGACAGAGGAAGCATGGCCCCGTCTTTGCCATTTTCTCAGATTTCTAAGGCACACAAAGGATCTGATGGAACCATTCGCAGCAGTTGACGATGCTGTCTGTTGAGAGATTTATAGACATTCATTCTTAAGCTTCATCATCATATTCCTGGCTTGACTCCCTCATAAAGTGCAAATTCTGCATCGTACTTTACATTAACAAATGAATTAATTAATTAATGACATGGTTCTCGTGAAATGAGTACAATGAAGTTCCTTTACTTTTACTTATGCTTCCTCGCTTTAACAGGGCTAGCCTTTTCTTTGTTAAGGCAAAGTATCTCTTACTAATCTCGGTTATCTCCTCTCATTTTGTTGGTTAAAGCTAAGATTCCAACCATTTCCTCGTTGTCATCATTTGTTTAGTCCAAATCCCGTGTTTATCATTGTAATGAGATCTGAATAATCCATGTTTAATCTCAGTTGTAAGCAATCATGAAATTTAATTCCTTTTTTTTTCCATTAGTCTTGCAGGCGTTGATATTACTTAGATGATATACTCCTCCGGTCCTTATTATAAGACCCAATTTGACTTTTTATTTGGTCCTAATTATAAGACCCAATCCATTTTATTTCTTATATTTATGCATTTTTTTCCAAGATAATCCTTCTAATAATGATAGTTTTAGCCAATATACTTAATTAGCAAGGATATTTTAGGAATGACAATACTTATTTATTATAAATAACCAACTTAACTTACTTCCTTAATCTCCTCAAATAAGTCAATTGGGTCTTATAATTAGGACCGGAGGAGTATCTCATTTTGTTTTAAAATTAAGGAAAATTTATTTGTAAGTCTTGGATAAAACAATTAAATACAGAGATTTACAAAGAAACCCAATTTTTCTCACAAATTTTACAAGGCTAACTTATAAATGACGCGATACAGATTGGACTTGCAAATATAAATTTTTATCACTTTTCTGTATTTGATTTTCTCATTTAAAACCTTTGTGTAATTTTACCTAAACTTAAATGGTTTGATGAGAATGTATCCTTTAAATTTTAAATAATTAATATGCACTCAGAAGATAAACTAGACGGTATGGAACTTACCAACAGTGATAATGCTAACGGCTAATGATAAAGCCTGAAATAAAAAATATAAGATAATTTTTAAACTTCATCGCCTTCCACTTTCTACAATGAAAACACTGTTTGAACCTTTAAATTTTATCGATCCATTGAATGCTGTTTTTGGTAGAAATCAAGTAGTATCCTTCAACCGATAGCCAGAGACTAATTCTCTCAAAATGCAGACTTGAAACTTAGAAATTTTGGGAATAACTCAAAACAATATGGGTCCATGTGCAAAAAGTTTAGGTCTGAAACCTTTCTTGTCCAATGCTATAAACATCATGGAATGAGCCCAACCTTATATTTTTGCAACCTCCGGCCCAGGAAGAACACTAGAGCTCATAGGGTAATCTTCTTCCCCTTATATGAGAGATTAAGTTTTAAGAACAACTTGACCCAGAAGAACAACTAGGAATCTTCAAAGCAGCATCTTGTGTTGAAATACCTTTCACCTAAAGTCTCCTTTGAAATGTTTTCTATTAAATTAATGAGACTATTCAAAAGAATACATTCAAGCCTATGATCTAACAAAAAATTATTAGTAAATATTGAAGAAATTATAATTCTAAGGTACATTAATGCCTATTGCAATTAAAAATTTTAAATTAGTCATAAGAGGAATTATAAATTAATCTGTTTAATTTTTCTTAGGATGCTTCTCTAATACTACTACAATGTTTGTTTGAGGCTCCGTACTATTGTTGCAGGCTATCTGTCATGTGTTAATAATAATATTAAAAAAAAAAACTAAACTAAAAACAAAAGAGGCCTGCGCATGCATCTACCTTTAAATGACTGCTTGACAGAGACAGGCAGCAGAAACCTCTCTTCTATGTCCTTCTCCTTCATTTCAATATTGCTTTGGAACCAAGAACTTCCGTTGAGACAATTACATCTAACCAATGGACTATGGCTTCTCAATCTCCAGTATCACCTGTGAAAATGACATGGAAATTTCATATTACTAGTTTCACTTCAAAGAAATTCTTAGAAGGATTCAGTCTAAGAATCTGGAAGGCCTCATCAATCAATTATTAATCAATATATAAATATCTTAAAGCAGTGTAAACGTGTAAAACTCACTTTTGGCATGTCTATTTACCAAGCGTTCTCACATTTGCGGCTTCAGTGAATTGAAACCTTGGTTTGGTTTACAACTTAGAACTGTCATTTTCCATGTAAAAAAAGTGTACAAACCAAATCAACCAATAACATATGTATCTTGCAAGAACAGGGGCCTTAGACAAGCAAAATATTTTAAGATTTGACTTAACCAGGAAGGAGGTCAAAGGTAATTGATTGTCTTAGACACCACTCTTTAGTTGTTATGACAGCTCATCCATTAAAATACAGCAAATTAAGCTCTTCTAGTTCTAGATTTCGCTTTCTGCATGAAACAAGTGGTTTTGCATCACCTAATTGAACAGCAACGTTGTCTCATTCTTCTATATATATTGCCAACCCATGATCTCTTCTCCATCCACGTTTCAGACTGAGAAGTTTACACCAACTCTCCCAAAGCCATCATTAGCTTCTGTATGAAAAGAGAGAAAATGGGTGTAACTCTTCAATCATTTTCATTTCCAGCACTCTTTCTTTTCTCAGCGATTCTCACCCCTCAGTTTGCAGAAGGAGGCATTACTAGGCACTACCATTTTGATGTACTTTCCATTATCTTATAGCTAACTTAAGTTTCATGAATATGCCTTTAGCATTCAATGTTCCCATTCACTGTTTGCTCTTTATCTAACGCCTTTAGCTTTCTGGTGCAGATCAAGTATCAGAATGTAACACGACTCTGCCACACCAAGACCATGGTCACTGTCAATGGTCAGTTTCCAGGACCTCGCATTGTAGCAAGAGAGGGTGATCGTCTTGTTATCAGAGTGGTTAACCATGTACAGGACAACATCACCATCCACTGGTAAGGAACATATTGTTCCAAAAGATGTTCACTGAAAAATTCTAAGGAATGCTTGGTCTAACAAAAACATAAAAATGAAGTAGCTCATCTTAAAACAACAAAAAAGCACAATTCTTCAGAGAGACTCACATCTGACACACACAGTTTTATGATTGGTGCAGATCACTTATATTTTATAGATCAAGTCTACTTAACTTCTCTTGGTTGTCTTTTTGATAGGCATGGGATTCGACAGCTTCGATCAGGATGGGCTGATGGACCTGCATATGTGGCACAGTGCCCCATCAAGACTGGTCAAAGCTATGTCTACAATTACACCATTATTGGCCAAAGAGGCACTCTCTTTTATCATGCCCATATATCATGGTTAAGATCAAGCGTCTATGGTCCTATCATTATTCTTCCCAAGCTTGGTGTTCCATATCCTTTCGCCAAACCCCACAAGGAAATTCCCATTGTCTTTGGTAATGAGATATTGGATTACACTAATGTGATTTCTCTGTTTATATTCACGTTCTAACCTAATTATATGAAAATTTTGTAGGAGAATGGTGGAATGCAGATCCTGAAGCAGTCATAGCCCAAGCCTTACAAACAGGTGGAGGACCAAATGTTTCTGATGCTTACACTATCAATGGACTTCCAGGGCCACTCTACAACTGCTCTGCTAAAGGTATCAAGTAACTAGTAAATATATTTCTGTAGGATACTTAACATTACTAGCGGCTGAATCCCAATGATTATTAACCCTCACCGGCTTTCAATGACTACTCATTATTGCTTTGAGCTACATCAAGACTCATACTCACATAAAGGATAGGATGCATATGAATTGAAAGTTTGAAACCCCCACGTGTTTTGATCGTATATAAAGTATAAACCATTGGTTGTGGCAGATACATTCAAGATGAGGGTGAAGCCTGGAAGAAAATACCTTCTTCGTGTGGTAAATGCAGCACTCAATGATGAGCTCTTCTTCAGTATTGCGAATCACACCCTCAGAGTAGTTGAGGCAGATGCAGTATATGTTAAGCCTTTTGAGACTCAAACTATTCTCATCACCCCTGGACAAACAACAAATGTTCTTCTTAAAACTAAATCTCACTACCCCAAAGCCACATTCCTTATGAGTGCAAGACCATATGTGACAGGCCTTGGCACTTTTGATAACTCAACTGTTGCCGGTATCCTGGAATATGAATCCCCATCAAAATCTCTTCACTTGAAGAAGCTTCCACTCTTCAAACCAATCCTCCCTGCCCTTAACGACACTTCCTTTGCAACCAATTTCGCCAACAAACTCCGAAGCCTTGCAAATGCTCAGTTTCCTGCCAACGTTCCACAGAAAGTGGATAGACAATTTTTCTTCACTGTAGGCCTCGGTACAAGTCCCTGTCAGAGCAATCAAACATGTCAGGGACCCAATGGAACAATGTTTGCAGCTTCAATAAATAATGTGTCTTTCACACTCCCAACCACTGCCCTTCTTCAAGCCCATTACTTTGGGCAATCCAATGGAATTTACTCCCCTAACTTTCCTAGCAGCCCCTTGCATCCATTCAACTACACAGGCACCCCACCAAACAACATCATGGTGAGCAATGGGACAAAGTTGGTTGCTCTTCCCTTCAACACTAGCGTGGAGCTTATCATGCAGGACACCAGTATACTCGGCACTGAAAGTCATCCTCTTCATTTGCATGGCTTTAACTTCTTTGTTGTTGGCCGAGGTTTTGGAAATTTCAATCCAAATAAGGACCCTGCAAATTTCAATCTTGTTGATCCCGTTGAAAGGAATACAGTGGATGTTCCCTCTGGTGGATGGGTTGCCATTCGTTTCCTAGCAGATAACCCAGGTTAGCAAGACTTGTGCTTATTATTACTTTACTTTTTTTACAAGGAAGGCTTATGAGCAATATTTAACCACTACTATTTACAAGTCCTCCCTACCAGATTCTCCCGGCAAATGACAAGTGAATAACTTGACAGATTAACAGCACATGATTTGGGGCCTTCGAAATTTCATCTACATGTTTCTTAAATTATTATTGGGGAACATAAACCTGGTTCAGTGCCTATTTGGCTGGCTAAATTTTTAATAATAACCACGTTAAATTCAACTTTAAGTTCAATTAAGGCAACTGATTAAAGACTAGCTTTTTATTTTTGGGCAAGTAGTAGTTAAAACAAATGTTTGTGACCATAATAGCGAGAAACTCATTCTCATTACCATTCTCCCCCTTTTCGGGTTAAATTCGTTTTGACAAATTAACAAACACCCAGCACGTATATGTTGTTTTAACTAAAAGAAATTTATGTATGAAAAGCGCGAGATATTAGTGAAAAGCTCATGGAGTCTCATTGTTGATTTGGTGCTAAAAAATTGTGCAGGGGTATGGTTCATGCATTGCCACCTGGAAATTCACACAACCTGGGGTCTGAAAATGGCGTGGGTCGTTTTGGACGGAGAGCTTCCCAACCAAAAACTTCTTCCACCACCATCGGATCTTCCCGTCTGTTAACTTCGGCCTCAAATTACTCTTTTCAACCTTTCTTGATCGTATTTGGCGGCCCTTTATGGCATTCTTTATTGAGCAAATAACTGTTACGAGTTACTCCTCTCACTCCGGAAATTCGGTGGAGAGAAATTGGTGCTCCTTCTTCTTTTTTTGATTTCAAGAAAAAATTTGTTTCTGTTTCAAGAAAATATTGGTACTTTATTGTAAGCCACCCTTGCATTCTACAGCAACAAGTGTTACTCCTAACTTTGAGATATTCCTGCGTTTAAATGAGAATTCCTATCCAACAAAAAAAAAAAAAGGAGCATTCTTTTGTCAATTGACTTTCTGCTTCCACGCATTTTGACGTTCGCAAGTAGTTTAATCCGAAGTCTTGTTCAACCAAGGGCAGACTGCCACCAACCTGAGATCAAAAAATCTACTACTCACTCTCCCCAAAAAAGCAAAAATTACGGCTCCCATTCCGAAAGACATTGATTCGTAACACTTCAGTACTGGGAAATATAAGCAAATTACAAGGAACACCGGAAAATGGCATATTCTAACAGATGCCAAGTCATAATAATTGCAAGCCTAAATTCACTTGTAAATGATCCTCCACGGTCCGCTGCATGTGTGGGCGTGTTCATAATTTGTTTGATAAATTGAGCAGGTATGCTGCGGCTCCAGTCCACAAGACCAACAAAAATTCATGTGATGTTAATAATGGTTTTGGAAGTAATGCCACAATCAAGTTAATCTAACAAATTACTTCTTAAACAACATCGACGTTAAATGCTAACACACCTGCAGCTACTCATCTCCCCCATGCTTTTTCTTAATCTTTTTCTTAGTTGGTTCCCCTGATTTATCATCATCTCTTCCTACAACATCTTCGTTCTTCCTTTTTTTCTGCAACTTCTTTACCTCATCAGTATTTATTTTATCCTCGCCGCCTGCCATATGTCTCTTTTTCTTTTTATTTAGGAAGTCCTTTTGATCAACAGAGTCTTCATCTCTGTTCTGAACACCACCATTGCTTAGTATCTCTTTTCGGTCATCTTCCCTACTTGCAATCTCATCTTCTGTTTTGATAACCTCACCCTCTCTGTCAGAGAAATTATTCATAACATCCTTCTCTTTCTTTTTCTTCTTCTCCTTTTTATGTTTCTTTCCCTCCTCCAATCCCCCGTTGTTATCACCTAAATTTCCCTTATTTGACCCCTCTTCAAGTTTAACTTCATCAACCACATGCTTACTGCGCTCATCTTCAAGTTTCTTTTTCTTCTTATGCTTCTCTCTCTCAACGGGTTCTTGACTAAAATCAAGACCACCATGAGTTGGTTTCTCTTCATTTTCATCTCCAGCCTCAGCTAATGGCCTGTGATCAGCTTCCCCCACTCCGAATTTCCCTTTGTCATCACGAGTCTTTGATCTACTCCTTTTGTGCTTCCGATCAGAATGTGGTGATTTGAGCTCCTTGTGGAGCTGGTTCAGCTCACTGAATGAACTAGAGGCCCGACGGAGATATGCACTGACAACATGTGAAGCACCATTCTCAGCAGAGATAAACTTCGAGAGGATTTTTGCAGCTTTCGAAAGAGAAATTGGTTTTGCTGATATAGGCTTTCCAGAGATTGTCTTCATTTGTACGCCCTTCAGCCTTCACACATCTATACCTAGAACAAAAGACATTTAAACATCTTTAGTTCCATATCTTTACTCTTACAACTAGCAAAAAAAAAGTTAAGATGAGGAGACGGTCAATCTAATTTTATAACTAACAAGCAGACACGATATGCTGCAAAGATATTAGGACCCATAAGAATGAGTCAGAAGGAACTCTTATCCATCACGTTATCTTGACAAATACAAAGAAAAAGTACTTAGCTCACATACCCCGTTACCAATAGATTAGAAGATAGTTAAACCAAGACAAGACTAAGGGCCTAAGCCCTAAAACTCATTAAAGACTACAAATGCCACTTCCTTTCCGCTCCCACAGCAGAGACTACTTAAAAATATAATCAAGAGAGTTGAGGAAGAGCCCTAGGCGGACGGCGAGTGAGGTTTGGAGATAAATTAACAATAAAGTGTGTAAGTGTGCGGGTGTGTGCGCGCGCGCACAAGCAGTAGACAATAGTCAATCAGCCCATCAGAAGAGCACCAACAAGCAAAACTGAACAGAGCAGTAGCACGATGGACGAGGGTCTACGAGACTGAGAAAAGCATGGAGGAGGAAAGCTTACGAATATGCCGAGGGGAACACAAGTTTAGGCCTAAGATTGACGCCGGTGAGATGCAGAACGAGAGCGAGTCAGCGGGAGAAGGAGGAAGCAGCATGCAAAGTAAACCGGAGCAACAGAGCGAGACCGACGAGTTGAGGAGAGAGAGTTCGCCGTCAACGTCGGCGCCTGATGGGGGACGAAGGGAGGTCACCGGGCTTCAGATACGCTGAGTCCCAGTGAGACTGAGAAAGAAGCCCGCTTGGCTAGGGTTTGGTCTTCGAAAAGGGGAAACGAGAAGAGAAGCTATTGCTCAATTTTCAATTTTTTGTATTAAAAATCAAAGATTCGTTGCAAAACAAAAATTCCTGCACCTATGTGAAACTAAGCCCTAAATTTACGCTCTTGCTCGCGGGTTCCATGTCGTATGGGCCCATTCCTTTTCCCCTCTCCAAACGTTTGGTTCAATTCCACTCCAATGAACATGAAGCCCAATGGGCCCTGTAATGTGCATAAATAACAAATTGGTAACGAGCCTATCAAATCAAGACTTAAAAATTGATAAAAAAATTTCTGTTTAAAAATTTAATTGACTAAAAAGGAATTGAATTTGAGCAGAGTGTAACATATCTTCTGCTGTGTATAACATATCATCAATGATATACAACAATCATCAATACGGAAGTCATTTACACATAGCAAAAGATATATTGTATTATACTTACTGATTATACTTGCACGCGCTCAAATGCATGTCATTTTAGCCAATTAAATTTTTAAACAGAAATTTTTTACCAAAATTTTCCTACTTTTATTTCTTTTTTTGATTCTTCAACTTTTGTCCATCAAGGGAGTTGCCCATACAGTTCAGGAAATCCTCTCAAGGGCCAACGGAATATTAAACGGTGTTAAAGTAGAAAAGAGGAGGGAAAAGAAGATGTGGAGAGTGGAGACGCAAATGCACTGCTGGTTTTGCAACAGTCTTCTCCTATGTTCTATACTCGTCACATCCTTAACAATTAACTAGAGTAATAATCAAAAACTCATGGACGCAAAAACACAAAATACGAGATTGTGTCGAATTGTCAATATCCTCCTCTAATCTTAAATATAAAATCCATTTTATAGTATAAATAGGTCTTATATTTATGATTGGAGGAGTATTATCAAAAGAAAAAATGACAATAAATATAAGGAAACGTTCTGCACGGCATTTCACACTTCAATTGCTGCTCTCAGACTCCATTGAAGGCCAGAATATAAAATTAAACTAATATTGCAGAAAATCATCAGTAAACAAAAGAAGTGAACAAAGATACATAGACTTTGGAATTGAAGTCCAAATCGCACCCACATTAGCGTACCTTTTCGAATCAAATGCACTTTTTGATGAGGAATGAGTAAATCGAATAACATTTGTGACTATCAGAGAAGTAAATCGAATGGTAGAAATTCACTCCCTCAAAACAAATAAAAAGATTCGTCCTCCCTCAAACTTTCAGTCACAAAAATCCACGGATTTCGTAGGAGCAAATCGCCTTGATGGAGAAAAGTTAAAGGATTTAAGAGGGAGAAAAGTAGAGGTATCAAATTAAAAATTAAAAAAAATTATAAATACCTGCAGAATGACTTTTGCAAAAAACAATCAAGATCTAAGAACTAATAGAATTAAGCCTAGGAAAAAGAACTAATTCCTCGTAATATCAAATCAAAGTTTGAGTTTTTATTCAGAGATGTGCCTATTTTTAATATCCGATAGTTTTTCAAATATAATTACCTCCAGTCAAAAAATACTAATGCATAACAAGAAAAAAAATCCAGACTTAAGAGCAAGCAGATAATTTATATGTATAAAATTAATAAGGTGTAAAAACATCTTATATTCATAACGGAAAGAAAATGGTCACCTAAAAAATAACAAAACAAATAAATAATAATTTATATTCTTATTTATAAGTCATTTCCAATATATTATATTAAAAATTAAAAAAAAATTAAACCTTATTAAGTCTGCATTAAAATCTAACAACTTTTAATTTTACATTATTTAATATATATATATATATGCATTTCAAAAATAATAATAATCTGTACAATTATAAATAAAAGGTAAAATAATATATTCATATTAAAATTTAGTGATGTGGTTTTAAATAAGAAAAAAAATTATTCTCTAAATGTGTTAAAATAGAACTAGAGAATGAATAGCAAGTAAGTTGAAGAAGTTCACATTAGAGCTGGGAAATGGATTGATTTGTTCTTTTTTATCAGCTTAGCTTGTTAGCTTGTTCAAAATGAAAAAAAAAAATTTGAAACAGAAAATTTCAAAATGTGCAGCTAAAATTTTCAAATAGCAGTGAAGGAGGGAAAGTCTAAACCGAAATTAAGAAAATATGAGAAAATGATTAATATATCCTTCTGTGATGCTTAGAAAAGGATGTTGTTATTTTGTATTTCAAACTTATTAATTTATGTTTCAATCTCACTCTTTTCATATCAAATTTACTCATTTGGTCTGAGAAAAAAAATATTATTCTGTATTCCAAACTGACGCGAACACATATTGTAATAAGAAGAATGTTGTAATCTTGTCATTTTTAAATTAAATTTAGTTATTGTTCCAAACTGATACAAAGATGCACTCCCTCCGTCCCATATTATAAACAATATTGGAGTCATCATGTAGATTAAAATATTAGTTAAGATTAGTTAAAAACAATAAATATGTAAAAATTAGAAATTTTTTCACTAAAATGCCTTTATTTATAGGGGGAGAAGTATAAAAAAGAGAATAAGAAAATTATAGAAGAGAGAAAATGTGTGATGAGAGATGATAGTTTGAAAAAATGAGATAATAAATATATTGAGTATTAAAATTAGTAATTAATGAGGGCAAAATAGAGAATTGGTTACAAAAATTTAAAACAATTTGTAAATATTTCTTATATTTAAATACATGAGGGAGATGGTAACTGTTGCTTATAATATAGGACTGAAGGAGTATTGATCATTTCCTTACATTTTCATAATTTTAGTTGCTTGTATTTTTAAAATGTTAGCCACATTTTTCTTGGAATTTTCTATTTTTAAGATTTTTTTGTTATTTTCTCTTAAAAATTAAAAATTTGTGGGGTTTTGCGATTCACCAATTTTAAGAACAACACGTGTGATTACAACTCATGGTCTCATGCTATGTCTTCCAATTATCAACATAAGTAATGATTAAAGATTTAAAGTTAAATTTTTTGGCACACAAAACTTTAAAGTTAATTAAATACTCATTCCCATCTATCATTTTCACAGCTACAACACCTCCAACCACCTTTTTTTTTGTTTTTCAAAAATTATTTGTGACGATAAATAAAAACGAATTGTAAGAAGACCTTTGTGTAATACTAAGTGTGTTTTTTATAAATTCTCTCTAAAAAAAATTTTCTTTTAAAAGTCTCACTTATAATATTTTTTTCTTGTCATCAAGGATTCTGAGTATGTTTTGCATTTGTCTTTCTAAAAAAATATTCTGTATCAAAAATAGAATTTGACCATGATCTAATAAGGTGTGTTTAGTGACGACTTTCCGAATTTTTTTTAGATTTAGTATTCAGAAGCAAAAATCCTAACATAATCTGTTGATGAGTTGAAAATAAGTAGTCTTATTTGGTCTAGAGTTTTAAATATCAAACTTTGTTAGTTTATGATCAGGTGATTAAAAAAAAAAACTCCATTTCAGTCTTACTTGTAAAACTCAAATAATCCGTTTAGGTATGATTTTGATTACGCTTCACCCGATTAGAGATTCAATTCGCCCCATTTACCCTATATTCAAAATAAAGTAGGATTTTAAAATTTTGTCCCATAACTAGGATAGTGGGGAATATAATATTATTCAAAACCTAGCCATGTACGTGTGGGATATACACATAAATGATATTATTATGAAAAAAAAATAACTTAACCGAATCAATACTTTCAACCTGCTTTTCTAGTGACAAAATGTCAAATGATCAGCCGATGATCATCTCATATTTAAGATGCAAAGAAAAGATCATCTAAAAAATAAAAAAGCAAATAAATAAATATGCTGGTAAAAAAAACAAATAAATAATACTTTTCTATATCTGATATAAGTTATTTTTAACATATTTTGTTGAAACTAAAACAACCTTAAACCTAATTAGCTCTACCATAAAATCTAACTATTTTTAACTTCGTCCTATTTAATATTCCCACTGGTTTATATTACAAGAAGTCTTTTAAAAAAATTTCCTCTCATTTATAAGATGTTTTGATAGTTTCAATTAATATTAAATGTTTTTTTTAACATATGCCCATATTTAATAAGAGTGGCAAGAGAGATGTTAGAATTTAATGTGATTATTAAAAATAATATTGAAAATCACTTAATATTTATAACAAATTTTGATACTTTTAATTATTTTTATTAGTACACATGAATTAGTTAGAAATGTTTGAGAGAACATACACATATTTTAAAAATAAATAATAAGTCTATATAATAACAAATTAAAGGTAAAATAGTATATTTATATAAAAAATTTAATAATGTAACTTAAAAATAGGATAAAAAATTTTTATCTCTCCACTTTATAAATATAAATAAGACTAAAAAAGTTTTTTTTTCCAACGACTAAATAAGGTGGGGTGGAGATAGATGTCATTAACTTCACATAAGGACTGGAGGAATGAATTGATTTGATCTTTTTGATAAACTAAGCTTGTCACCTATTTTTGGTTTTTTGGCCAAAGCTTGTAAGCTTGTTAAAAACCCTAGTACCTTACGGAGTTACGGTGTTGTAGATTCACTAATTTTAAGAACAACACGTATGATTACAACTCATGCCATGTCTACCAATTTACTAACATAAGTAATGATTAAGGACTTAAAGTTAAATAAATATTTATTCTGGTTTTCTTTTTGAAAAAATCCTATCAAAAAATATCTCCAAAATTTCAAAATCTCAAATTAAAAATAATTATAAAAATGTATTATCGTTTACTTTTTAAATGTTATAATTACTATTAAAATGTAGTGAATCAGACTAATTTAAAATTTTAAAATTTAACTTTTTTTTTGGATTCTCCCTTCTTTTTCATTCCAACCAAAAATATTTTTTTAAAAACCCCTCCAACCACTTTACCAGCATCTCAGTCAATAGAAGGCGATTAGGTCATAAAATTTATTTAAGAATAAAAAATTATAATTTTATCTTGCTCAAAATTACGAATTATATGTTTTAACAAGAAAAAAAACGCGTTACTAAACTTT